CACATCAGGAAACATTTTTCCAATCTTCTATTGTCCAATTTTAGAGAGCAATTGAGTGTCCAATTTTAGTGGCAAACGCAGACCACCCTGTCGGGCATCAACAACCATGCCACGTTCAAAGTCACTTAAATCACCTTTCTTCTCCTTTTTAATGCTTGGTTTGACCTGCATCAGATCATCTTGACCATGTTCTACATGCCTAAATGCTTTGAGTTGCTGCCATGTGAATGGCGAGTGAGTGTATATGTATACAATCTGCATGTGAAGATATTATTTAATTTTGGTTGAATTTTGTACCATTAAGGCAGAAAACTATAAAAACTATCGACGACCCATAAGAGCCACAAGTTTATATTTTTTTGTTAGTTGCTAATCATTTAATTTCACAGTAATTTAATTATAAGTTTAGGTTTTAAATTGTTTTATTAAAAAATACTGCACAAAAAAGTAAAACACTGCTGCTCACTTTAAAAAATTATTGAAATATTTAATTTTTTACCTAAAGAATGAGAAGTAATAGACATATATTGTTCTGCACATGATTATATTTTAATATGTGTAAATGTTTACAACTTAAAATGTTATTGTCATTTAATTTTTTTGTTACTGTAAAAAATTTAGCAAGTTCTTTGACATTTTTATTTGTATGTACAAAAAAAAGCACACTGATGTTTTAATAAGAAAGTAAGAGTGAAATAAAGTTAACGTTGTAATTGAATGTAACAGATGTTTGAAAAAAAAAAAAATATATATATATATATATATATATATATATATATATTTATAGTATATTTAAATATATAAAAATTTTATATATATTTATATATATATATAAAAACAATATGCAATCAAACTAAATGTTAGTATATTTTGAATAATAAAAAAAATGCTGACAAATGGGTAAAAGCTATTGGTCTGAATAGGGGAAAAGCAGAAATATTAATCAATCATCACTTATTTATTCATTCTTTCATTTTCCTTCGGCTTAATCTCTATTTCAGAGGTTGAAACAGGGGAATTAAATGCTAACTATCTCAGCATATGTTTTACACAGCAGATGCCTTTCCAGCCACAACCCAGTACTGGGAAACACCCATACACACTCATTCACACAGATACACTGCAGCCAATTTAGTTTATTCGATTCATCTAAAGTGCATGTCTTTGGACTGTAGGGGAAACTGGAGCACCCGGAAAAAACCCACACCACACCAACATGCAAACTCCACACACATATGCCAACTGACCTGGGACTCAAATTAGCAACCTTCTTGCTTTGAAGTGACAGTGCTAACCACTGAGCCATTGTGTCGCCCTAGAAATAGCAGATAACAGGAAAAAAAAAGCGTTAATTAATTAAAAAAAAAAAAAAATGAACAGAAACCCTGTAACATGATATATATCTCCTTCCATATGCTTGAAGCAAAACGTAACATCTGGGAATCAGTGGCCCGTACAATAAACCTCAGAGGTTATGACACTCCGAACAGACGAACATCAAAAATTGTCTATAAAATCATCTGAGGTATGTCAACTACAGTTCTGGATGAACCACAGCGAACGATTAACAAGTTTTACAAGTATATCTGCCATATGTGCCATATGTGCTGCCATATCTTCATTTGTGCCGTACAACACAGTACAGCTGTAATACGATTTTCTTAATGATCCCTGGAAATGCAAATGATTCAGACAATCTATTATTTAGTTTTTCTTTTTTCCTCGGTAAGACTTTAAAACTCCACAACAGCAGACAAAAAAGAGAAAAGTGCTGAAATTTGTAAGTAAAAGACATTCATGGCTGATTAAAAAGTCTGTAACCTACATGGCACAGAGTAAAATACTTTAAGCAATGGGTACAGAATATTTCATAGTGAGGAAATGTTCAAATTAAAAGCTGAAGGCTATGTTTTTTTTCTCTCTCTCTCTCTCTCTCTCTCTTTTCTTCACACAACTGTGTTTAACGTTGCAGTTTCAATCTCATTACGATGTGGGAAGCTCTGTTTGGCCCACATTCATGTACTGGGGTGTAATTATTTTGGAAGCAAATCATATCGTGCATTAAAATCAGCTAACAGTAAAGAGAATATGATGCACTGTTGGCCACACACGCTTGCTTACAATTTACTTTTTTTTATTTTTTTAAGATACGTTAACTTTTCAGACAACCCTTAATTTAGATTTGCATGTGTGTGTATGAAACTTTACAACAGCAGACAAGAAGGACAGAACCAATAAAACTGTTTTGTAGGTAAAAGACTTTCATAGCTAAGCTGAATACAAGTTTTACTTATAAGGCACTGCGTAAAATACCCTCAAGTGCCCACATAGCAAAATTTCTCTGGCCCAGATCTGGCCCACTCAATCAGCTTTTACGGTACATGATTGTACCATGTTTGGCTTCCATACAAGAGCCAAACATGGACTATATGGGCCAGGTCTCGATTAAGTTAACCCATAACTGGTCCAGATATGTTCCCAGGTAGCAAAAAATTCTGGCCCAGATTTGGCATAAAGCTGGCACAACAGGCATTAATCTGGCACTGGCATGCAGCATGTGGGTCTTGTACCAAAGTTGGTGACCCGGGAGGTGTTTACAGACTGTACCAAAATGGGGGATAGGGGGAGAGGTGGGTGGTGAAATCATGGGAGTTATCCGGAAGAAATAAAAAACGGGATGGTTGTGGGAGATTCGTCTGAAATACGGGTTACGCCCAGGAAAAAGGAGAGTGTTGGCAGGTATTCTTAACAGTTTAAAAATGATTTGATCTGCTGCAGTTAGAAATCAGACTGTTATATCTTATAAGCGTAAGGGCTTATTATGTGATTATATTATCTGTTGCCATCTTGTGGATAGAAAACATCCACCATCTTTTTCTACTCTATGGCAGGCTAATGTCCGTTGACAAGCTCTCTTAGAAATTGTAAATATTTTTTAAAAGGCACTATTCTTTTAAACAAACTGCATAGTTGCAATTTAAACTACATTCTCATCTAAAAAAGCCTCTAAAGTACATTTAGTTGTCTAACAGCAGTAATATTTGTTAAACTGTAGTGTCTCTGCTTGTTGCTGACTGTATGTGGGCGGAGTGATACACAAAGGTGAAGGGTTAAGAGGCCTCTGTGTGATGTTACTGGCAAAATATTGCATGGCTATCAGTCAATCAGATTCAAGAACCAAAAAGAACTGTTGTGTGTGTGTGTGTGTGTGTGTATATATATTTATATATATATATATATATATGTAATATTAATATATATATAGTTGAATAACTTGCACGTAACTTGCACGACAAAAATGTGTGCTCACAAGCAAAATATAGATACAACTGTGTTTAATGTTGCAGTTTCAATTTTATTACTATGTGAGAAGCTTTGTTTGGCTCACATTTATTTATTGGGGTGTAATTATTTTGGAAGTAAATCATATCGTGCATTAAAATCAGCTAACGGAAAGAGATGATGGACTGTTGGCCACACACACATACACACTCAAGCAGTCGCTCACAATTTACCTTTTTATTTTTTCTTCAAGAAATTTTGACAAACAACAACTGTGACCTTTAAGTTCGTAGAGGCAGCATGGCTCTGATCACAGGCACTGGAAACATAGCCAGACTGAAATGTCAACCGTCCCTGCGGTTCCAGCACTGACGCAAAACTGCCAGAGAGCTACAGGGAAAGCCAGAGGAGAGAGACGGAGAGAAAGATCGAGTGAGGAAACAAGCCTAGCCAGTCTCTCTCTCTCTCTGTGTATGTGTGCGTTAGCATGCGTTCCCCGGTGTGTGCGTGCGTATGGATGGCTAACAGAGACTTACCTGAGCTGCAGGCTCGTTCTTTGAGGCCCGGGCATGTCAGACAGCATTAAAGCAGGTCTATGGTTGGGAGATTTCGACGTCCCTTTAGAGAGCTGCAGGCTAAGTCATCCAATAGAGCACAAACTAGCCTCCACGCTAACAAACAGGCACCGGGCTGCTTGCTGACCCCTCACAAGCAAACACAAAAATATCTTCATCTCGTCTCTTTTCACTAAATAAGCATGTCAGTTTATGACATACGGGAGATGAGAGCATTTGAGGTGCAGTACAGTTTGAGAAATCCATACTGATTTGGCTTGATGGTGACATAGCATTAGCAAAAAAAAAAAGACGATGTTTTCATCGCTAATTTAATACTTCTAAAAGTATAAATATGCAAATATCTACACAATATTTTGTTCATAAAAAGGGTTTTCATTGAAATGTCATAACTTTTCCAGAGAAATTTCTAAAGATGTTATGTCCACAAAGCCTACTTCACTACTATTTTACATAGCGTATATGCAAAAGGACTTTTAAATTTTCAATAACCCAATTAAAGCACTTCCATTGAACGTTACAAAATATGTCACTTATATCTTTCAAAATCAATGATCTTCACTGCCCGTCTCGGAATGTACTAGGAGCACTGCATTAAATTCCACTTTTCCATGTCATGTCTTTAAAATGTGAACATTTATTTTACCCAAGTATTATCAACTGAGTTTCTGTCTAGCCTGCTGATCTTGACTGTGGATAAGTGTAAACGGCTTTTCATCTCGTTTTACACTTCAACAACTAAATTAATGCTTAATTCTATTTAACAGATTATATTTTAATTACATTACAATATTGTATTTAGCTTAATCCAAACCACCATCCTTAATATAGCTACATTCTAACATATTATATTTATATAAGTAAAATGCACATTAATTGTAGTTTGCACATTTTTATATGTGGAACATACATTTTACTATTGTAAAATAAAACATCAAACAAATAATCTTCTACTTTTCGTTAGTCATATCTTGGGAATTTTTATGTAGAAGAGGCTATATAATAAGAAAAATTGTAAAAATCCACTATTTTGTTGTGATTATACATAACGTAAATACGTAAATACATAATAAGCAGTATTTTTCAAGTTTTTATGCAGAATAGATTTCTTTCTACATTGTGAGTTTAACAAAGTTAAACATAATAAAAAAAATTAAATACATAATAAGATTTGCAAATTGCAAAGTTTTTTGTGGAATATTAATAAAGATCAAACTAAATACATTTCTAATACGATACTATTGTCAGATAAATGTGAAAAGTCTGGAGCCCACAACAAATATGGAAAGTTACTACAAATTTTATGTAATTTTGCTTACATGGATGATAATTGAATATTAGGGCGCACTCACACTATTCTATCTAAACCGTGCCCGGGCGTGTTTGCCATTTCATTTAAGAAGTGTGGGTGCTCTGAATTGTGCTCACACGCAGTTCAGTTTGCCGACCATGGCCTGTTTTGTTCTCTTAGGCTTTAGCGCGGTACACTTGTGGTGCAAGTGCAAAGCTAAGCCCGAAACTGAAAAAGAGACATCCCTTTTATATAGTCCCTTCATATAGATGTATTAATCATTCTTACTGTTCAATGAACGCAAACTATCGTAGTTTAATAAAGACGCAAACCCCTCACTGCATGACAGCTACACCTTCTGCAAACCTCCTAATACCTGTAGCACAAGGACTTTAGTGATTATTTATGAGCGTCAAAGGTGACTTATCAGTTCGCCGAAACATTTAACTGCTTGTCACTGCATCCCAAACGACTAAAATGATAGAACTAAAGAAACCTCCAATGTCCTGAGCGAGATCGATTTTCTTCTGTTAAACTGAATAGCGCATCATCGATGACGCAAGTGTGCTCTGTGAGTGCAGGCCATTGGGGGAAAAGGGAGGGGAGACAAGCGTGCTTCGGCACGGTTTAAGGCAACTGTACATAGTGAGAGTACGCCCTTAATCAGATGATGTCATTATGCTGCTGTCTTGCATTTAGCCAATCGTTAAATTTCTGATCCAGATTTCGAGGATCAAATAGATCTGTCCTTCACAACAAGCATGGGAATCTCAGATGAATTCATCTAGACATTTTAATCTGATTTGCATACTTTTAAAAGAACAAAATTAGCCAGAGATCAGTTGTCAAGATTAAAAGATCCAGGATCTGCAATAGATTGTTTAAGTGAGGTACAAAAAACGGACCCCTGGTTTCTTTGGAACGACCCATTATCAAAATAAACTAGTCTTCAGCAAAAGCATCTTTCAGAGTTACACAAGCTGTTTACAGTTGCCGAGCGACATCTCAACTTGGTGATTTGATACAGAATGTGCAGTCACAGGTGTGAATTTACCCGCATAACACGGTCCATCCAATCAGAATGTAGTCAGAGCTGTCCTTTATAAACCTAAATATTCCATTCCCCAAATTCACGGTGTGCGAGTCTGTGATTTGCACAGATTCATCCCCTATTACTATAGTCTATGTTCAAACAGCGTGTGTGTATGTGTGTGTCCGTGTCTAGAAAGCTTTTGAAAATGGGACGAGCAATCAATTATGGGCATCGCTTGGCAGCCGCTCAGAATGACAGGCCATTGTTAGTTTTCCTCCCTCTCTTTCTCTCTCTCTTCATCTGTCACATGTCTGCTAGTCTCTCCTGGGCTCGCTCTCTCATTCTGCTGCCTTTCTACTCAACAGCTGCACGTCTAATGAAGCAGGATCTAGCGGACCTGCAGAGAGAGAGAGAGAGAGAGAGAAAGAGTCCCCTGTTTGTCTTTGTATTGCAGGTGTGAGATGATGGGAACATTTAGTGTACCTGGCTGTAATTTGCTTGGGGGCTAAAAAAAAAAAAAAAGCCAAAGACTTCTGTCAGTTTTTGGGTCCTCTGCGGTGAATGATAAGTCTCGCTGCCTCGGGGACAGCTACGATCAGCTCAATCAGCGGCAGTGTAAACAGCGGGTCACAAAAGCCATGCACAACTTTAGATTATAGACTTTTCTTGCCGTGATCTTGTCAAGGGCACAGCATCAGGGGATGCCTGTTGCTTCCAGATGGTGGCGTATTTATCTTTTAATCTGTAAATAACACAAAAATGAATGAACGAATGAATGATTTAGAGAGTCATTCTGTAAATATGTTCTCATTAAAGAGTGTAAACTCCAAAAAATTGCTGGGTTTTTTAAGCCAAAGTTGGGTCAAACAAGGACGATCGTAATGCTGCGATACTCTTTAAGCCAGTGGTTGGGTTTTGCATAGTTGATCAAACATTGGCTGAAAGAGTATTCCAAAAATGTGATTTGCCTTGTTTGACCCAATGTTGGGTTTTGACAATCTAGCATTTTTTTTAGAGTGTAAACTCTAAAAAAAAAAAAAAAAAATGCTGGATTGTTGTAAACCATCGTTGGGTCAAGCAAGGACAATCCCAATGTTGAGATACTCTTAAAGCCAATGGTTGGGTTTGTGCATAGTTGAACAAACATTGGCTTAAAGAGTATGTGAACTTTGTGATTGTCCTTGTTTGACCCAATGTTGGCTTATGACAATCTAGCATTGTTTTAGAGTGTACGCACAAACCCAACCATTGGCTTCAAAAGTATCTCAACATTACGATTGTCCTTGCTTGACCCAACGTTTACTTAAACAACCCAGCATTTTTTAGAGCGTACACTCTAAAACAATGCTAGATTGTCATAAGCCATCATGGGTCAAGCAAGGACAATCCCAATGTTGAGATACTCTTGAAGCCAATGGTTGGGTTTGTGCAAAGTTGAACAAACATTGGCTTCAAGAGTATGTAAACTTTGTGATTGTCCTTGTTTGACCCAATGTTGGCTTATGACAATCTAGCATTGTTTTAGAGTGTACGCTCTAAAAAAATTCTGGGTTGTTTAAGTCAACGTTGGGTCAAGCAAGGACAATCATAATGTTGGAAAACTCTTTAAGCCAATAGTTGGTTTTGTGCATAGCTGATCTAACATTAGGTTAAAGAGTATCCCAACATTGAAATTGTCTTTATTTGACGTGTGATGTGTTTTCATTTTGATGTAAAGCGCACGACTGTTCAAAGCGCGTGCACGCTCCTGTTTCCTTGCTTGAAGCAACCGTGCCAGGAACACAACTGTGATCGCTTATCTTTCAAATAGTTACACAAAAAAGCTATGCTAATGCATCCACAGTCTTGCTGCTTTCAAGAGCTCCAAATATGTCTTTTTGTAAGCAGCAATGGTTGCTTTTGTTTTGAACAGATTATTATTTGGCCTTAACCATGTGATCATCTTTCCATTATCGTAGTATGTTTTTCACCTGCTTTCTTTTGCTATGATTAGCTATGATTATTTTTGTTTAAATGGTTTAATTATATTTTTTTACAACAACATTGCTTTAATATGAGATTAACTCTCCTTTTATGTGTAGTTAAATGGTGATCTGAGAGACCTTTAGCTAGGACAGATTACTGTGCATATTTTGACAATAATTATTTTTTATAAGTCAATTGTTTTTCTTTCTTTCTTTTTTTTTTGAAGAAATGTTTTGTTAAATAAAAATTATAATATACAGCTATATTTAGCTTGTTTTAACACATTTAAAAATTGTGGCTAAGAAATAATTATTGTTTGGAGTGGTCAGAGATAAATATGATAAATCCTTAATTTTGAGTTCTGAAAAGTCATGTGAAATAAAAACGTATTGCAATATAACACTATGAAACCATGACCTATTTGCTCATCCACAACACACAAAAAGTGAAATGAATGAAAAGGTACGTGGACAAAACACAAAATCTAAATCAAGTAATTTTAGCATGTCAAAGTCATATTTATACATATAAAAATATTTTCCCAACAACAAAATTGTGGCTAGTGACAATGCAGAGTGGCTAGTAACGTTGGAAAACTACCAGCCACTGTGGCTGGTGATCAAAAAAGTTATTGTCAAGCCCTGATTGCTGTGCATAAATGAACTCTAAAGACAGCAGGGGTGGCACATACTGTACATCATTAAATATGTAATTAACATGTAACTTTCTTGAAATAAATAACATGGAACAGCAGTAAAACAAGGATGCATTGACACAATAATACTGTAATGTAATGAGTAACCTAAAATGCCTTCTAACAAAACTCTTGTAAAGGGCACGGCATCAGGGGACGCATGTTGCTTCCAGATGTTGAAACATTTATCTGTTAATCTGTAAATAACCTAAAATTTAATGAATGGATGAATGATTTACAGGGTCATTTTGCAAATAAACAACGTTCTTGGATAATTCTGGGAACGTTAGTGAGGCTGCCGAGTGTCTGGGGGTGTAATTATTGCTTCCGGCGTGGTGTGCTGTACTTGGTGTTTGCATTGGTAATGTAACTTTGTATTTTCAGGAGATCTCCCACTGAATTTACCCTGAGTTGCCTGTGGCCGCCAGGAACAGAGTCAGCACATGTAAAGGAAACACACAGCGCAAACTATGCATTAGCAAATGCAGATTTACCTTTTCTAAAATGCTGATGCTGTGCCAACATGCCACTTTAAGAGTCATTTCAGTTCATTAATAAAGTGCAAACATAATTTGGAACTAAAGCTACTGATTTTTCTCTTGTTCTTAGAGAGTGTAAAGAGAAATGACATTACAAAACTACTAGTAGGGGTTTTAGATTCTGATGAGATGTGTGCATTAATGAGTTACAGTATTAATGTGCTACTGGTCTGTTTTTGCAGAGGTTAAAATATATTAAAAAAATCCATAAACCAGTAGAACTGTGTCATATATTTTGCTGACTTTTGTACAAATGTTTTAAAGAATGTTCAAATGCAGAAAAATAAGCTATTTTAATTAGTAACACTGATTGTATCATGTGTCGCCATGCTAATTACACGATCAATTTCTATTTTCCAGGTTTTAAAAGAAAACGGGCAAAAAACAACAGTTTCAATATTGCTGCATCCCAATTTTCATGCTATCCATCCTAAATAGTGTTCAATGATAGCATTAGTGTATCCTAAACCGTAGTATGTTGAAAAGAGTATGCCAAAGGTTTCCAGGTGCTGTATTATTTCCGTTAGAAATTTAAAATGTAGAATCGTCTGTACTCTAACCGCTAATATTTCCCACAATACATTGTGTGTTAGACTTGAATTAGATTAGAACTACAAACTCTGGTGAAAAGTGTAAAGAAACCACAAACATGGTGGACGCGCAAGACTAACCATCAAGTAGAGAGGCTTCTGTAAAGTTGTTTGAATTAATTCATAAATACATACCTGTCAACCCTCCCGTTTTTCCTGGGATTCTCCCATATTTTACTGTTCTATCCCGCTGTCATCCCGTAAAGGTATTTTCCCGTATTTCTCCCGAATTTTCAGTCTATCTCTGAACAGCCGAGCCTCCCTATACGCAACCCATACAGCCGAGCCACCAGGGGTCACCCCTTGCTCTAAAACATGAGTCTTCTGTGCTTTCACTTTGTTTAGGAATGAAAACACTTATAAATAAATATTAAAAACGGCGTGATTGCATTTTCCTTTGATTACAGGTGCCATCGCCCATCCTATACAATCCTCAAAAGTCATATAATGGTGCATGACTGTCAGCTGACGCGCTCCATAGTGATAAATAGACGCTGTTTCCCAAACGGATTCTGTACACGCGATTTGACACGCTTATTATGGTTGCATATCCCTTATTTTTACATCCCAATGTTGACAGGTATGTAAATAGCCAACTGGAAAATATTTAAATCTTGTAGTCCATGTTATGTTTCATCTGCAATAACAATGTGAACTTATATATATATATATAAAGTCCTTTTTGGACATAACCTTCTGAATGCATAATTATCCAAAGACCTGAGGAGATTTCTCTGCATGAACGACTCGTGAATGGAAGATTAACCTGCTGCTGCATAGTTAAGCAAATATAAAAGAAATGTTGATGATGTGTCGAGATGATTGACAGGGGATGTAACTAAGCAACATAACGGTCCATTACTGAGTAGTAGTATATGCCAAAGTTTGCCTGCTCTTCTGTTACACACTCAAAAGTATGGAATTTTTCATCACAAATGTGTTTTATATGTGTCGCATACCTATGTAGTACAAGTATGCTAATTAGGACGCAGCATGTTGTGCATTTATTCGACCACACAGAGCAGCATTTTAGCTGAACCTTAAATGTATTTATTATGATAAAACAGTGCTGCTTTTCCCCATAATAATCAGTGTGAAAACTGAAAGAACTGTGGCATAATAAAAGCTCTCCTGCTTTAATGTCACGTCTCACTCATCTCTTATGAGCAGTTACTTCAGTGGTCTTTTGCTTCAACGGCCTTCAGTCTTAACGTGCTTTAAACCGCCATGACAAAACGTTTTTTAGTTTAATGCTGTGACGCGGAATGCATGGATAAATTGCGCTATTTGCGCATAAATAGACTCATTAAAATTTGAATTTACTCACTTCATTCACGTGTCAAATCTGCTTCATTTGTGCGCCAAACTCACTTCAGAACAGATGCGGATTCGCGTCATGGGCAGGGCTTCTGTCTGCCCGGTGACTGTAGCTTCGTTGCTAAATGGCTAACATGGATTTAATAGGGTTTTATCAAGGCTAAAAAACAGCATCAATTCATTTGGAGCAGTGTCTGAGTCCACTAGATCCTTTCAGAGGTGCACCCTGCTCTGTAAGCTCCTAAACTCCTCCAGAAACTTAACCTGGATGATGGAAGCATTCAGCGGTGCTTCTGACTGAGTCGAGCCCAGTTTGAAGAACTGTTGTCGGTGTGTGCAGGAGGATTTCCCCCCGGGACACCAACAACAGGCGCAGAGTCATTATCACAGCCCCACAAGAGTAATCTCCTGATTGGCTAACGTGGCGTGTCTATTTGCGCGTTTGCATTGACTTAACATGTAAATCACTCGAGATTGAGGCTTCTTCTGCATGTGGTGTGAACACAGCATTACTCTGATGTATATTAGTCAGATAGTTTTAGTATCAAATATAAAGAATCAGTAAGAAATCAATTGTTCCAATGTATCAGCAGTTCTCATTTTCTTCCTCTGAATCAAACAGTACAATTATAAAATCTTGCATTAAAAACATGATAACAAGTTTTAAATACTTTAGCTTATCAATAAACCTGATATCTGAGGAGTCCCGTATGTAACGAAGACCACAACTCCCATGATTCCACACTCAGTCACAGCGTCATCAAATCACACATTTGTTTGTTGTGAATACGCTCCCTCTAGTGGGGAAAATGACATACTGTGTTTTTAAGACAAAGCTCCCATTAGGCCTCTTCTACTGGTTTGTCTTCAAATAAAAGCTTCACTGTGCTTCATGCTACCATGATAATCAGTTTTGAGTACTTTAGCTCATCAATTAACATGATATCTGAGGAGTCCTGTAGAATGTAATGAAGACCACAACTCCCAGGATTCCACACTCAGTCACAGCGCCATCAAACTACACATTTGTTTGTGGTGAATTTGCTCCCTCTAGTGGGGAAAATGACATACTGTGCCTTTAGGACAATGTTGTTACTTCAAATAATTCAAGAACAACTGCAGGAATCCCATTTGGCTACTTCCACTGGTGTGTCTTCAAATAAGAGCCTCACTGTGCTTCATGCTACCATGATAATAAGTTTTGAACACTTTAGCTCATGAACAAACATAAATCTGAGGAGTGCTGAAGGATGTAAAGAAGACCACAACTCTCATGATTCCACACTCAGTCACAGCGTCATCAATCCACACATTTGTTTGTTGTGAATTTGCTCCATCTAGTGGGGAAAATGACATACTGTGCCTTTAAGACAATTTTGTTACTTCAAACAATTTGAGAACAGCCGCAAAAATCCCGTTAGGCCGCTTCCACTGGTCTGTCTTCAAATAAGAGCCTCATTGTGCTTTATATTACCATGATAATAAGTTTTGAATACTTTGACTCATAAGCAAACATGATATCTGAGGAGTCCTGTAGGATGTAACGAAGACCACAACTCCCACACTCAGTCACATCGTCATCAAACTACACATTTGTTTGTTGTGAATACTCACCCTCTAGTGGTGAAAATTACATACTGTGCCTTTAAGACAAAGTTGTTACGTTGTGAATATCCACCATCTAGTGACAAAAATGAAATGTGCCTTTAAGGCAAAGTTGTTACTTCCAACAATTCAAGAACAACTGCAAGAAGCCCATTAGGCCACTTCCACTGGTGTGTCTTTAAATAAAAGCTAGCGTACCAGTTGAAACCAATTCAAGTTAAGCAAGAACAGTGCAAAACCGGCTTAGGGACTGCGTTTGTTTGCACTGTTATTGCGTTTGCGCAAGCAATATTCAATAGTCCTTTGCAATTCAAATACCTAGATGCATTGGACTGCAAAGAGAAATCAAATGTGTTGTTTTTTTTTTAACTAATTGTATTTTCAGCAGCCGCAGCAGCGTTCATTTCCATTTCTCGTCTCTTGTTCTGGCTCTATTGTGGAGTTCATTAGTATGCTTGTAACCACGCACAATCAAAATAGAGCGAGAGAGAGAGGAAGGCACAGTGTGGAGACCTTTGTGTCGACCCCTCGCAGTGATGGAGGTGAAGCAGGTTCAAGGATGCTGGTGGGCGCAGCAGGTGAAGACCAGACCCCACCCAACCAAATCATCTCTTTTCAGCCGTTCTCCTGTCCGTCTCTCTCTCTCTCTCTTTCCGTCTATCTTTTTCTCTCCTGCATGTCTGCGTCCATCAGCGAAGCGTCCGCTGGGACCGACGTGTTTTGACAGATGCTCATTCTGTCTTGGCACATCTCACAGGATGGTATGGCACTTGTCATCCTGATAAGAGAGAGAGAGAGAAAAAGAGGGAGAGAGAAAAAAGAAAGAGAAAATGAGCGCAGAGAGATATGTGATTAAGAAAACAAAAAGCCTTTCTGACTAACCAAGGCCATATCTTTTTCTCCTTTTCCCTCTTTTGCATCCTCAGGGTTTATTAAATGTTAGCCGAATGGGAGAGATAATAAAACCGTGGGTCAAAACGGAAAGGACTGCTTTGCTTTTGTGATCTGCCACTCTGCGTTACAGTGATAAAATGTGAAATTGCAATTTTTTGTATTTTTGGCGAGTAGTTGCTCTTGCTTTCACCTTGCATTGGGAGGTTATTAGACAATCAAGGTGACTGGAAGTGCTCTCGTAATTATGAAAAAATGGTGGGATTTAAAGTGATAATTTTCTTCCTAAAATGAAATAGTTGTCAAGATTTTTTTTGTGTGTGTGTGTGAGTGTGTGAGAACCACTGATAATATTTCTACGGAAAGTGCCCAGTTTCTGGATATACGAATTTTTAGACATCACAATACTATTTTAAACTTTAGAGGGATAAAAAAAAATCTATATTAGGTGCAATAATCACGATTTTCAAACGAAATAAATATTATTCTTCTAAACAATCGTCTACCAAATATACTACATGACAAAAAGTGTATAAAAATAATTATATAGGTTTGAGAGAGAGTAAAGGATGATCGACTTTACTTTTTGTTTTGTTTGTGTGAACTATCCCTTTAAATAAAAATAAAAAAATCCTTATTTTATTAGGTGTAACCAGTTTAAAGGCATAGTTCACCCCAAAAAATGAAGATTTACTCTCCCTCATGCAGTTTTAAACCTTTTACTTTTTAATCTTCTATTAAACACAGAAGTAGATAGTTTAAAGAATGCAGGTTGCCATTCTAGGAAAAAAGAAAATGACTATGGAAGTCAGTGGCTGTCAGCAACCAACATTTTTAAAATATGTTCTTTAATGTTCAACAAATGAAAGAAACCCACATAGGCCTTTGAGCAGAAAACATGTAACCACTGACTTTCTTAGCAGAAAAAAAATAATATGAAAAGCAATGTTACATGTTTTCAGCATTTTTCAAATTATCTTCTTCTGTGTTTAACAAAAGAAAAAACTAATATTGGTTTACGAGTGAGGAGTAAATGATGACAGACTTTGTATTATTATTTTTTTGCGTGAACTATCCCTTTAAATAATAATAATAAAAAAAAACTTTATTTTGTTCGGTGTAACCAGTTTAAAAAAATAGTACACCCAAAATGAAGATCACCTCAACATTTACTCTCTCTCATGTGGTTTTAAACCCTTGTGGGGATTTTTTCTTCTATTAAACACAAGATATTTTGAAGAATGCTGGTTGCCATTCTAAGAAAAAGGGAAACAGAAAATGACTATGGAGGTTAGTGGCTGCCAGCATCCAACAGTTTTCAAAATATCTTCTTTTGTGTTCGACAAAAGAAAGAAACCCAATTAGGGCTTTCAGTTGAAAACCTGTAACCATTGACTTTTATAGTGAAAAAAATCAAATACTATGCAAGTCCAAGTTACAGGTTTTCAGCATTTTTCAAAATATCTTCTTCTGTGTTTAAGAGAAGACAACTAATGATGGTTAGTTTGTATTGTTTTTTGCATGAACTATCCCTTTTAACTGGAAAATCTTTATTTCTTTAGGTGTAACCAGTTTGAAGGGGTAGTTTACCAACAAAATGAAAATCAACAATCATTTACTCTCCCTCATGCAGGTTTAAACCTTTATGGGTTTTTATCTTCTACTAAACACAAAAGAAGATATTTTGAAGAATGCTGGTTGCTATTCTAGGAAAAAAAATGAATATGGAAGTCAGTGGCTGCCAGCAACCAACATTTTTTAAAAATATCTTCTTTTGTGTTTAACAAGAATCTCAAATAGGGTTTTGAACATGTGAAGGGTGAGTAAATAATGACCAAATTAAAATTATGCTTGAACTATCATTTTAAGTAATTTGTTTTTTATATAAAGACAGATATTTAACTACAGATTTTTTTTTCTTGGAGAATAAAACAGCCAAGACACTTGTTCTGCTTCCTATCCTGCTCTCCTTGCATGCATCATTCCACACTCCACTGTTATGCATATGTATGCGTGTGTGTGAGTGAGTGTGAGAGTGTGTATATTCGCGACCTCCCCCCAGGTCAGAGTTGTCTGTGTTCTACCTGTTTTCATGCAGGTCCTCTTCTAGCCCGAGGCCCATTCACACTCCCCACACAGGAGCATGTGACAGCCTGGCAATACCCGCCTCGGCCAATCACAGCTCTTCACCCCGAAGGCCAATACAGGATGTGACAATCGAGTGAGCTGCAGGTCATGCAAGAAGTCTCCTGCATGCAGCCTCCTGACAGGTCTAGTATACTGATGTACCTTGGCAGAATTGGGCTCCGTCTCACTGAACACTTCCGCCAGAGTTTGATGAGTAGGGCCCTTATGCATGCAGAAAGCAGAAAGAAAGAGCTCTCTGGGCGATCAACCGTGTATTATTATTTTTTTTTTCTCCATCATAGAATCTTTCGAATGTTTGTACTGGCTTGTAGAAGCTTCCTTTGCTGTCTCGTGAAAACAAATACTAGCGTTCCACTTCACCTCAGGTGGAATTACAGTGTACGCAAGACAGCGCTATATTAAAATCCTTCATACAGTACTTTCTCATTCTGTTTCTTCTGCTACAGTATTTTTTTCTTTCAGATGAACTCTTCTTGAACTGAAAGATATCATTTTATGGATACTAACACTTCACATTAAGGTGTATATAGGACTGCACAATACTGACATTGCAATATTTAGTTTTTCTGTTTTATACAACTATTATTGTATAAAAGTATTGTATAATTTTAATAGGTGAAAGGAAATCCCTATCTTCATCATCTTAGATTGAGTAGGATGATTTTGTAGTTGAGTGCATCTGCATAAAATAGAATAAACCCCTCACAATCACTTATAAATGGGTAAAGCAAATATACAACTAAAACATTCAACAGTATTCAGGTACACAAATTGAATAATTAATAACACTATATAATCTTTATTGTGTGTATACACTTACCGGCCACTTTATTAGGTACACCTGTCCAACTGCTTGCTAATGCAAATTTCTAATCAGCCGATCAATCATGCCAGCGACTCGGTGCATTTAGGCATGTAGACATGCTCAAGTTGGTCTGCTTCCGTTCAAACCGAGCATCTTTGAACGTGGCATGGTTGTTTGTGCCAGACTGGCTGGTCTGAGTATTTCAGAAATTGGAAATCTACTGGGATTTTCACGCACAACCATCTCTAGGGTTTACAGAGAATGGTCCAAGAAAAAGAAAATATCTAGTGAGTGGCAGTTCTGTCGGTGCAAATTCCTTGTTGATGCATAGAATGGCATCTGTAACTCAAATAACCACTTGATACAACCGAGGTGTGTAGAAGAGCATCTCTGAATGCACAACTGGTCCAACCTTGAGGCAGATGGGCTACAGCAGCAGAAGACCACACTGGGTGCCACTCCTGTCAGTTAAGAACAGGAAACTGAGGCTACAATTTGCACAGGCTCAGAAAAATTGGTCAATAGAACATTGGAAAAATGTTGCCTGGTTTGATGAGTCTCTATTTCTGCTGAGACATTCGGATGGGGTCAGAATTAGGTAGTTTAAACATGCAAAAATATAAATAAAAATTGAGCGTAAATCATCCAATCATCACAAGTTTAAAAGTTTGTTTCTGCCACAATACAAAAGAGAAAAAAACTGAACTTAAGGATATTAACTCATACTGTAAGTGCAAGATAAAAATTTAGAAAAAGAAATAATGAAGTCATTTTGAACTTCTTGGATGTGTTTAGCATATCATTTTAGTATTGGATGTGTGTTTTGTACACAAAAGTTCAACCACAAATTAAACTGGTTTTTATTTTCATGTATTCGTTTTAAAGTTTAATATATTCCTGTAATGGCAAAGCAGCAGCATCACTCCAGTCTTCAGTGTCACTTTATAATTCAGAAATCATATGGTGAGTTATTATTGTGAATGCTGTGAAACAGACACCTTTAACAAGGTTAAAATCTTTACTGTCACATTTCATAAATCACTCGATGAATAAAAGTTTAGAAGCTTGTTTTCCAGCATGGAATATAAAAGGAAAGGAAAATGTGACTTTCCAATCTCTTAGTTATTACTTGAATTTGAGTTTACTTCAGACTTTTCTTCTCAGATTTGCAATTTAGAAACTCACAACCCAAGAAAAACACATAATTGCCAAATATAGTATATACTGTATAAATAATAAAAGAAAAGCCATGAAAACTAATGTTCCCCTTCGGGGGGAACTTCAGCACTATAAGTGGATTTGATTGTAAAATCCACGCATTGGGAGGTTCGGTTCAGAAGCTACTCGTCTGAAAGAGTATTGAACGGGCCAATTAAGAATGAATTGGCAGCGCAAGCCTGCGCAGGTGAGCGGCATAAGCAATCAACTGAGTATATAAGCTCACCTGGCGCAGCAGACGCTATCCTTTTCGCTTCAGAGACTTTCTGATCGAGTCGATGAGGGTTCCTCCTGCTGTGACCAGCGATTCTGAGCGAACGAGAGCATTCTCCCGGTCCAGAGTGTGTACACGCAGTGGCAGACGGTCGAGCTGGGTTTCTCCCTTGCCTGGCGTTCTTTGGGTCCGGTCCTCCAGAGCGGTGCGTATAAAGTTGCAAACTTCACAGAAAGAGCAACACAGTCGTGCAGCACGTCCTTATCAGGACGGCGCTCCGACTGTGCGTTTCTGGATGCGGTGGTTTCCTGTCCTCGGATGATGGGCGCGGGCACTGTGTTACATGTCTGGGGGTCCAGCATGTTAATGCGCTGCTCGCGGGCAGTTCATGTCGTCATCGCGATGCCATGACTGTTGCGCAAGATCGCGGTTAGCCTTTGCAAAAAGGCGAACCACCCCAGTTGTCCCCTGCTCTGCAGCGGGCACTCGGGCAGATCTGAGGGTTTCAGCGAGAGATAATCCGTCGCCCACGGGCCCGCGGACCTCCCGCTCCTCTAAGCGCTCCATCCAAGCTTCGGGCGGAGGAAGCGATCCGTCTAACAGATGGTAGCCCTTACGCCCGATGACACCGGAGACCAGATGTCCACCGCGGCATCGGAGGGTGGGCTTTCATTGTCCGATGATGATCCAGACCCGCTCGCCCCCTTCGGGCTGGTGAGCGCTGTCACTACGGATCCTGAAACGGACATGTTAGCCGTGCTTTCCCGGGCTGCTTCGGCCGTGGGTTGGAGATGGTTTATCCCCCAGCTCCGCGGCCGGACCGACTAGAGGGGCGTTCCCTTCTTCCCGGAGGTGCACAGTAGGCTCACGCGGTCTTGTAAAGCACTTTTTTCTGCTCGTGCTGCGTGTTCCTCCACCCTAACCACTCTTGACGGTGAAACAGCCAGGGGGTATGTGGCGATTCCTCAGGTTGAGTGCGCGATGGCGGTAAATCCGCGCGGCGCCTCTTCTTGGCGGGGTCCGCCTCGTCTCCCATCCAAAGCCTGTAAGTTATCTACCTCCCTCGGAGCTAGAGCTTACATAGCTGCGGGCCAGGCTGCTTCCGCCTTGCATGCGATAGCCACCTACCAGCGCTACCAAGCGCAGGCGCTGGCCGAGCTGCACGAGGGTGGGTCCAACCCAGGCTTACGAGCTTCGCACCACCGCCGACTTAGCTCTTCGGACTACTGAGTCCGCTGCGTGTGCGTTGGGGAGGACGATGTCCACATTAGTGGTCCAGGAGCGCCACCCCTGGCTGATATGCGCAAAGTCGACAAAGTCCGCTTTCTTGACTTCCCCATATCCCCAGCCAGGTTCGGCGACACTGTCTGTGAATTCACCCAGGAATTCAAGGCGGTGAGAGAGCAGTTGGTGGGTGATGTCTTATCGGCGGTCCGTAGCCCGCTCCGCCCGCCGTGCCATTCATACCTGCTCCTCGCCGAAGGCGCCCGCCTACGAGAGCTGCTCCGCCCCCGCACACGCCTAAGGCGAAGCGAGCGCGTCGGGCACCTCGGAAGCAGGCAGCCCCCCTGCCCAGAACGCCGCTAAGTCCGGCAACGGACCGCGAAGCGCCCCTGGGACAGGCCATCTGGAGAAGAGGTAACTTGCTCTTTCCCCGCTGGAGGGCGGGGCCCCATTTCCAACGGCACTTTTTACTGCCATGAAAACATTATGAGAGGGCACTTTTCACTTCCCCAGATGTGACAGCCCGAAATCTGCCAGTCTGGGACGCTATGCTTTCTAGCTTGCAGATTCGGTGCGTTTCGCCAGTGGCTCACGAGCGCTGGGAGGACGGTCTCCTTTCTCCCACCCCTCGAGCCTCCCCTCCAGAGCTCGGGTTTGGAGTGAGAGCAAATATCTCACCTCCAGCTTTTCCGTGGGACCCGCGAGCTTCCCGGATCAGCACACCCACTCCGCGCTGCCCCACTGCTGGTACGTCAGCGATTGTAGCGATGAGTCCATTAGCGAGAGCTCTGCCTGCCTGGTTAGCGCGGGCCAGCTCTTCGCGGTGGCTCATACGCACAATCAGACTCGGCTATGCGATTCAGTTCGCGAAACGGCCCCCCAAGTCACGGGTGTGTATTCACCAGGGTCAGCCCCCTGTCCGCCCCTGTCTTGCGAGAGGAGATTGCTGTCCTCCTGGCGAAGGATGCAATCGAGCCGCTCCCTCCAGCCGAGATGGAGAGCGGGTTTTACAGCCCACGCTTCATCGTGCCCAAAAAGAGCGGTGGGTCACGGCCAATCCTAGATCTGCGCGTTTTGAACCGCTGCCTGCACAAGCTGCCGTTCAGAATGCTCACGCAGAAGCGCATCCTCCGGTGCGTTCGTCCTCTGGGTTGGTCTGCAGCATTAGACCTGATGGACGCGTATTTCCATGTCTCCACTCTTCCTCGCCACCGACAGTTTCTGCGGTTTGCGTTTGAAGGTCGAGCTTGGCAATACAAAGCCCTCCCCTTCGGGCTCTCTCTGTCTCCGCGGGTCCTCACCAAGCCCGCGGAGGGTGCCTCAGCGCCCCTTCGGCTCGCGGGCATCTGCATACTCAATTTCTTTACGACTGGCTGAATTGCCCTCTCTTTTGATTATGCACAGAGTTGATTATGCACAGAGACAAAGTGCTCTGGCACTTCCACCTGTGGGGGTTTCAGGTCAACCGAGAAAAGAGCAAACTCGCCCCCGTGCAGAGGATCTCTTCTCTCGGGCTGGAGCTGGACTCGGTCACCATGGCAGCGCGCCTCTCCGGAGAGCGCGCTCAGCTGATGCTGTACTGTCTGAGAGAGCTCGACAGTAAAATAGTGGTCCCACTGAAACAATTTCAGAGGCTCCTGGGGCATATGGCATCCGCAGCCGCTTCATGCCGCTCGGATTATTCTATATGAGACCACTTCAGCACTGGCTTCACGATCGAGTCCCCAGACGCGCATGGCA